ATACCATATTAGTGCACTTAATTAGTTAATGATGCAACCACTCACTAAAGTAATTAATTAATTAAATATCAATAGAATCATATCCTGTAAGACCAGAGAATTTTACTTACAAATTTTTTATTATAATACTGCAATTAATCAATTACAACGTGGATCTTTATAATTTTTTTTTTATAGATTCTACATAATACTAAATTATTATTGATTAATTGTATTATAATAATGTATATGATATATTTCCCTTATAAGACCATAATTGTTGCGCATCTATAAATAAATATCTTCCTAATCTCTCTTACATCAAAATAAAACATGAATATATAATAAAAAATAAGATAAACTCGTTTGGGGTACGTTAAGGCCGGTTCAATCTTTAAAATATTATTCAAACTTATGAGTAATGTTGGTTTTTTTTTTTTAAAGAAATTTGATATAATGTAGATCTAACGAGTCATATATTCGTGTTGTGTAAAATATTAAAATTTGTGTATTTATGTTATCTTTTATATGAAAATTACAGTTATAATTCATGTCAACACAAAAATATAAAAAATATATTTTTTATTTTGTTAAACTTATATATAGTTATTGCTAAAACGTTATTTAAGTATCCTATATTTGTAAAATATTTATGTTGTATTAACGTATCGTATTTTAAATTATCATATCTATATATATGCACCACGTTCTATGATAAATTATAATATTCTTAATTGTTATTTTGTTCAAAAATTGAATAGTTTGACAAATTAAAAATATAAGAAAGTAATAAATATAATAAATTATTAATGGCTATTAGTTCAAGTGATATACAGAGTTTACTTTTTTTAATTGTTTGAGTTCAAATTTGTTGTTAGGTAATAAAAAATTAATTTTTTTAATTCATTAGATTCAACATAAATAAATTTATTTAGATCAATTCAGAAAAAAAAAATCGTATGTTTTGAGAGAGGTGCAAGAACAATATATCACTCAACTGAAAAAAATAAATATAATAAATTCATGAATATTTATTAATTCCTTATAATGGAAGCGATACCGCCATTTTCTTTTTAAATTTTAGTGAAAATAGTTAAACATAAGCCCACCAAGCCTAATCAATCAAATGTGAATGCAGAAACTTGGGATTCATATATGCCATCCTCAATTTTGTTGGTTTTACAAGATAAGACAGGTTCAAAAGATATGCCAAAATATTCAAACCAAGATTACTCCATCATATTCTTGTCAAAGCATGATCTTCAATGCCCATTGTTTTCTGATCCCAAAAATCTTTTTCTATCGAAAAAAAAAAAAAAACGAAGAAATTCGATCTTAAAGTTTAAGCAATGAATGGGTACTTTTTGGCCATCATGTATATATGGTTTTTATGCACTAAAATGACATGAGCAAAACTAAGTCACGCAAAGTTATGTAAAGATATATGTGACAAAGAATCAACTCATGTGCCATTTAACAAGTGGATTGTTTACGTATTGCACCATTTGCCGCCCTATCGATCGTTTGCTAGCTGACAAATTTGTAAAGAAAGGCCCAGAAAAGAAAAAAAGAAGAAAAGGAGAATATGTCACATCTTTTTCTTCAATGTTTTCACTTGTCCATGGTTTTGAGATTTTCATATATATTATTGTGATTTCAGTGTGTTGTTAGTATTAAAATGAAAAAAAAATGGCTGCATCAGCTTAATTTTGTAATGCTTCAACGCTCTAATCACCACAATCATCAGCGTAGTAATTTTTTTTTTCTTTGTTCTTGTGATTAGATAAAGAATCCCAACAACCCACATGACTTCTTGGATAAACAAAAATAAAGAGCGATAAGAGGAATAGCCATGAAATGTGAATAAATTACACTAACCCTAGCTTGTTTCATCTGTTATATCTCAGCATGGATGACAACAAAGGGGGGCAACTTTACGTGTGCAACTTGTCCTTGGTAAGAACCGTCCAAAGTCCCCAAGGCCAAAGCTCGCTTGAAAAAGTCTCTAATCTTTAATCAAATCAGTAAGGGAAACGATGTAACGTGTTGTCCAGAAGAGTTTTCTGATACAATTAACTAATTAATTTCTCAGATTGATAATAGAGAAATAATTATTAGAAGTTGAAACAAAGAAAAAGTAGTGGTTTAATAAATGTTTGAAGCTAAGAATTAAGGTTTGTTTCTTTTTGTGGGTGGGAACTGGGAAGATCATAAAGTTGAAGAATATTTATATCATGGATAGTAGGACAGATAAATTTTGTCGCGTTTATGATTGCTCATCCCACGTACTAAGGCAGAAATCAAGTCTTGGAAAATCTATGAAGCAACCCCATTTTTTTTTTAGTTTATTGAGTGGATATTCTCAAATTGGGCTTTTCATGGAGCAGAGTTAAACGTAAACCAGAGTGGGTTTCTGATCCTTTCTCAAGGCCCATGGTTTTCTTTTTGTCTACATCTTTCGAGTATTTGATTGCTGTTTTTGACCTATATCTGAGATTTGGCACGAGGAAAGAGAGCAGACGCAGTTGATTTATGCAGAATTTATGAAAGTTGACAGAGAGGCATAGCATATGCATTTATCTTCCAGTTTTTGGACCAGTCTGTTTTATGAAGAAAATTTTAAAAAGAACAGGGGTACAAAATAATTAAGAGCTATGGGACCTGATTCCTGAGATGATATTAACCCATTGTTTTTGTAATTGTGTTAAATATGGCATGGGGGCAGAAACCTACCAGGGATTTCTATGGCTTTTTTTGGCTTTTTAATTTGATTTTATGGCACATTTTCTGGTTTACATAAGATGGGTCCCTTGATAGGGAAAGAATTTTATGGGAGAATTTTGAAGGTAGATATGGATTTGGTGGGATTTAGAACTGAAAACAAAATTGAAAAAGCAAAACTAAAGAGGAGGTGGAACAACTATTGCACTGATTATTACAAGTTTAAAGCCTTGGTCTGAGAGAGAGTATCTAAATGAACGAGGGTTCATGACACTTGACCAAACACACATGGAGGAAGAAATCATAGCCACAACCACCAGGCAATCAATACTTAAGTTATGAGGGCAAAAGCTAATTGCTTGTGGCCCATAAGACTTTAATATGGTTTGGCAATTGGCCTTGACTTGCTTCATTTTCTTTTTTTAAATTCCTAATCTAAAACTCTTATCACACGCATAAATGACTTTCAATTTGTAACTTTGGAGCATCAATTTTAATTTCATATCAACTTATCTAATGTCCATTGGTGGCCCCCTTACATATTAATAGTAGTAGTAATTAAGAAATTCAGGTCAAGTCAAGCTGCCGGTGGATCCAAGGAAAAGAAAATACTGGTCAAGTCAAACAATCGACCTGAAACAGGAGAAAAAAAATTTCTTGTTTCATCTGGTAAATTGGTGGGTGATACAGCTAATAATGCAAACTACTTTCCATTCATTGGTAAAAAACTCTTCATTCTAGGTGGTTGTAGACTATTTGAAACAAAGCTGGCAGTTTCAAATGACCATTGAAATTTACATTTTCTTTGTGGGATTTGAATGCTCATTGACTATGAATTGATAAGGAATCGGATATGATTCCAGCAAAATTTTTTCCTCTTTCTGAGGTAGAGGTATTGGACTTTAGCTTTAACCACAAGATCTTTCCAAATTCAAATTTTCTCCCTCTAATCAAATTGAAGAAAAATGCTAAGTTTGAAAGCAGTAGGGTTGACAATAAAGTGGCTGACTTGTAAGTTGTAAAACTTACAAAACTGTTTGATACACCCGACATTGACAAACAGTGAAAAATGGTGATGATTTTACCTCAAAATGACAAAATCAAGCCATAAAGACTACGACGGGTGCTAATGAAAGCCCAAGTCTCAGTATTTGACAAGCCATTCTATGACAGAATGTAGCCGAGCTGAGGTTCATAATTAGGCCTGAAGGATATCTAACTGGGTCTCACAGTTGTTAAATTAGATCCAAAGGCAAAAGTTTGCATATTCCACTACCAAATCTTAGCTAGGGAGCAAGACATTTGTGATTTTTTGGTTGAAAAAAGACAGCGACAAAGGTGATTGGTAGTAGAAAAGTTGCATCTGAAAGGAATGACCAAAGGGGAGTCACTTGTATTTCAAGGAAACCAACTTGTTCAGTTCAGTAAGCTGGGTCAGTCTTTGAATATGCTTGGATTTCAGTGTTAATTGGGGGGATATTGATCTCAAAGCTTATATCCCAGCAGATTAGCAGCTAGGTAGCAGGCTCTGAATATTAATCGGATTAATGTTTGAAGCAAGCATTTGATGCTGTGTCAGTGTAATCACAAAGCTTCGACTGCAATTCCAAATGCTTCAACAAGGAATTACCTACTTCACTTTGGTCGCCTTTATGATTACCTACTTCACTTTTCTTCATAAGTTGAAAATCCATGATGATTTTTGATATATGAACAATCGTCCGTCTGTCGAATAATCATAAAAAATTGTTTGAAAAAACTCTGTTTCCTTCTGATATTTAGAATGGTGGATTCGAACTTAAATATAGAGGAAAAACCCCAAAAATTTGTAAATGGATGGAGAGAGAGCGCAATAATTACTCCTAAATTAGATAATCCAACCAATGAAAAAGGGGAGAGATCAACTAAAAATTCTTTTAACAACATAATAGCCCGGAACAAAATTGGATGGTTTTGAAGAGAAAATAAATGGTAGTAATGGTGTTAAATTGGAAAAGGTGAGAACAAGAGCGAAGCTCAGGATTAACGGTGGAGGGAGAAGGGTGCATTTGAATAGTTATAGTGGGAAAAATGAGTTTATCAAATTAAAGATGGAAAGGCAGAAGCAGACAATTAGAAACCTGTCAAACACAAGGAGAATAAGATTCTTGAGTATAAGAGGAGAAATCGATAGTTTCTTTATATTTTATTTTGTTGAAGAGATTGAAACTGGAGATTTGTTTGGATTTTGAGCATTTGGGATTGAAACTGGAGTAATATTGCCAATATTTTTGGTTGGCCCTGACAGTTGAACCCACAGGAACTCCTTGAGTAGATAATCTGTAAATGTTTAAAAACCTGCTGCCTCCACCGGGCCATTAGTTTTTATTTTTACAGGATTCAATTTGCAATATTCCCTACAAAAGCATTACCTCTCCACTTTCAAGCCAAATGTCTAAAGAATTATATGGATCTGAGTCCCTATCTCTCCAAAAGCAATTGCAGTTAATTGGTGTAAGACTTTGAACTAAGAACTCATGGGAGAGTGGAACTAAAAAAAAGATTTACTCGGATGTCTTGGGGACTAAACAGACAATTAGTGGCTGACAAGATTGAGCTAAAAATAGAACATCAAACAAATTCCAGCCTGGAACAAAATTTTGCCAGCGGACTGTGAAGCTTGATGGTTAACAACCAATATGGTAGTTCCAAAAAGCACATTCATGCAATGCAATAAAACTTATAGGGTTTGTTCACATTAAAAAATAACTTCCACCAAACATCTGGTGATTGCTAAATGGTAATCTTTATGACTTATGTAAGTTATTATATATATTTTGATATTTTCCTCACAATATTATCACAAAAGCTCTGGTGAAACCTAATAAGCCTATCCAGAACAGCACTCATTTGCCACAGTTGAAACCATGGCAAACCGAGAGGACAATGATGAGGATCAACGCAATCAGTATTCCTAGAACAATCAGCTTGATCTTCATGTTCTGTAGCCACATTTTTCTTCGGATTTTCGTCCCAGTATTTCGAAAGTCTTGAGCCTGCAAAGAAATAATTTCAGAAAGTTGTAAACATCAAATTATGTAGTTACAATGGAAACAGGTTATAATTATGTCTCCTTGCATGATGCTTTGCTGAGTCAAGTTCTGCAGCCTTCTAGCATACTCAACTAAGATCTGATGCTACTAAAACAAATGTCTGTTTTCTTGTATTTCCATCATTCCTCATGTTTTTCTTTGCCAAAATAACATATTGAGGATTAAAACCCGCCTTGCTGATAATTCATAATGTTACAGAGCGATCCAACCCAAATCTCAATTCTCACATGACATCAATAGAAACAACAAACTTAGTTTAAGTTGTTACATGTTTAAATTTGCACAGATACCTGATTGGTGCATGACAAAGAGAAAGAGAGTCACTGACCTGTTGGTGAAGATTCTCAGTCTTATCCACTAGTATCTCTATCTTTTCCCCTCTATCTAACACCTGCAGGAAGGAAATTCAGTAAAAATGACCACAAGCATGTTTCTGGTAAGTTGGTTGATTACCAAAGTTGTTATAATTTAATATGGGAAAATTGCAATTTGCCTGAAGCACTGCAGGATGGCAACATCAACCAAAAGCCCACCGAGAAATGTGAGATTTGAGAAACAGAACCAGATAGTTCCACAGTGATATAGGACATGCATTGGCATTTGGCAGAGCCAGCAAATGATTGAAACTAATTGAAAAATTCGAACCGCACAAATATAATAAAGACCCTTAAGATTTAAAAGAGGAATATCATAGAAATATTAACATGATTAAAGCCATCTGTCACTATGACTATGCAGTAAACATCAGCCTAAGAGAAAATGAAAGGTAAACCTATAAAGACAGAGCACTAGCCCCTATCATCTACTCTAGGTTAATCCATCCATTTACAAATGGCTGACATAACAACAGAAGCATAAACATGGTGCAGCTAACAAAGCATATACCTTTTCAATGTTCTCCATCATAACACCTTTGACTTCTGAAACCTGCGCTTTAACCTTAGCAAGCTTGCTTATTTCTTCAGGATGATCAACACAGTACTGCATGTGTTCTTTTAGTTTTGGCCTGCAGTTAATAGCATGTTAGATATGCTACAATAATAAGAAAAGATAACCAGTAAGTATTTTCATGATTTTAGTCAGAGGTAGATACCCGAAATCCTTGTTCAGGCTGTTGGCAGGAGCTGAAGCAGCCTTTCCACTACTATATTTTGACACAAAATCATCCTTGATACGCTCCAAAAATGCAATAGGTACTTGCCTTCCAGCTGACTCATCTGCAACAACACAATATGCTGCAACATCTAAAAGTCAGCCAATTTACCAACATGAAATAAAAAAGAAGCTGTCAACGATAACACAGTAAAAGGTTCTTTCAACAATTCTTGGAGTCAATTAGAGTTCATTGAAGCAGAATGCATAAACAATAAAATCTAACTGATTTTTAGATAGACTTCTAATGATATCTTTTCTCCCCCCCCCCCCCCCCTACCTTCTTCTGTTTCAGCATTAATCAAGAATGTGGGTTACAGGGGTGATAACCGAATCGATTTGCTTTCACTTGAAGTCAGTTTATAACATTATAAAGACATGACGTATTCCAATCATCATCAGAAGAAACCTAAACATAAAAAAAAACAAACCACACAAGACATAACACACTTGCACATGGGCCTTCAACAACCAGCATATAGCACGAACTCAGTATACCACACATAGGCAACTAATGTTAAAAAGAATAAGCCACAAGATCTCCATAATAAACCCTCATTTACTAACCAATCAATTTGAGTAATTTCCAATACTATAATGCACAATAACCAGAGATAAACTACCTAAAAAGCAACAGTAGTAAAAAACAAAGTATCTATTTTTTTTTTCCCATTTCTAACAAGCAATTTTCTCATAAATAATCCAATGGGAAAAACCCAAATCCAAACTTTCCCTCTAGATCTCAAATCCATTTCTTTTCTAGCCATTAAATTATACACTACAAGAAAAAAGAAAAAGAAAAAGGCCCAAAATTTTCTTCTCTTTCATTTTGCTTTTCCACTCATTTCCCAAAGACCCAAACTTTAAAATAATGGAAGCCAAAATTTAAAATTTATTGAGAAAGAAAAAAAAAAAAAACTTAACTGTAGCCATTGTCAACAAGGTAATTGAAGGTGTGGCCATCACAGTTGTAAGTGAACTTGTTGTTGGAAGATGGAAGCTTTTGGAGGCATTGAAAAGCTATGGAATTAAAATTCCCACTGAATTCAGTGTACTCAGCTAATATAACTTCCCCACGAGATACAAATGCATAGATCAATGATTTCTGCACCATTTTCTTAGAATTTTTGATATGGTACTTTGGGTTTCGCAGAGAAAGCAAAGATAGATCCGGGATTTTAGAGGCTGTCTATCTCTTATCTCTTTTTCTCTTTCGATTGATTTGTTTCCCTTCAGAATCACTCTTTAGTTGGGTTTTATTTTTTTATTTTTGCCTTTTATACATAGAAATAAGAAAAAAAAAAAAAAAAAGGGAGTGAAAAAGGTTTTAACGAGGTTTAAAATTTACAAGGCGACAGCAACAGTTGAAAATTTTTTGGGTAATAATTGGTTTTTTTTTTTTTTAAATCTTTTTAATTACTCAATTGATTATCTTTAAGAAAAAATATTTTAATTTTACATGATTGTTGTTGATTACTACTTTGGTTACGTTTAAAGCTAGGATTTTTATGATATTGTGTCCCTTTCAAATTAAATTTCTTTAATTCAAGTTGTTCTTTTTTTTATGAATTAGTAAACGAAATTACACTTTTGACCTACGGTTTTTGGTGTAAATGCTGAAGGAACTTAATTGAGATTATAATTGATTATTGGCTCAAATAAATAGATAAATAATTTGTTTGGTATTGTAAATTTTCAATTGAGAAAATTTCTGTTGGCATCAAAATAAAAAATAAAATTAAAGGCATTAATATTATGTTGGTGGTAAAGACAATAATTTTCATTAATCGATTTTTAATTTAATTAATTTATATAATTATTTTTAAAAAATATTATTTAATAAATTTAATTTTAATTTTAACACGTATAATTTTTTTTAACCCGATAGAACAGCTATAGTTGTCATTAAAAGTGAAGTGTAATGTAAATGATTTCAACCTTTTACCTATTTCACAATTAGGTATACTAAATCTTTTTTCCTTTTGAATTTAAATTATTTAACCAAAAAGCTGATTAACACTGGCATAGGTCATCTTCACGATGAAGATTCTTTATCTTTTATATTTAGGTATGGTGATTAATTTTGATTATAGCCCAATAACAAGGTTTTTGAACTCAGAAAACCCAATTGATGTGTTCATAACTTTGATGATTTCTGTGTGGGACAATTGATGGCTAACAGGGTCCCGATGAACTTGGGATGTCCAAATTGTGAGGAGCAAGATGCACAGAGAGTATGATTATGCATCTTGACACATAGATTTGAATATGAAAAACTTGTTAGAAAACAAAGAGGAAAAGATTCTTCAATTTTAGCAAAAAATTTTTTTACTCACTTGTTGTATTATCTCTCACAGTTTTTCTAAACAAAATATACTTAATTCAGATATGGAAAGCTATTTATTTTCCTAAATTGCTGTAGAATCTGCATTTTCAAATCCTGAAAAAAAAAAAATCAATTCCTCTTTAGCCAAATTAAACATCTAATTTCAGGTAGTAAATTAAAAATATGAGGTTAATTTACAAAATTAAAGAATATAAAAAAACTTATACTATCAGCAGTTATTTTTATAGAGATTTGACAATTTCAATTATGATATAGTAATATGATATGAAAATAATACGAATAAAAAATATAAAAATAATACAAATTAAAATTTTAATAAAAATTCATTACAAGAAAATAAAAAATTAGGTACAGTTTTGTAGTGATATTTCACTTAACAACATCGTTAATTTCGTGTTTTTATAAAACTTAAAGCATTTTTTATCAAAATGTCACTAAATATTCAAATAGCGACGTTTGTACTTATAAATACCATTAAAGACAAAAATTAGTGGTGTTTATTGACTAAAATGCTTTGAATAATCCTTTTTAAAAAATTAGAGTGATTATTAAATGCATTTTTTTATAAAAAATATTTTTAATAATCCCTTCTTAAAAAATAGATAGGAAATTATTGAAGTCATTTTTGGTAGATAACGCTTTGAATAATCTCCTCATAAAAAATAAAGACGATTATTGAATATGTTTTTTACCAGAAATACTTTCAATAATTTTCGTAAAAAATTGTAGAGGATTATTGAAGGTATTTTTGGTCAAAAATGCATTCAATAAATTTTCTTGTCAATAAATTTGCTAAAAATGGAGTAGCGTTGTTGGTTAAAGCATATGGTCGTTAATTATAAGATCATAGGTTTTATCCCTCATTTTAGCATTTTCATCTCCAATTTTTTAGAGGAATTTCTAGTCTATAATAATCCCTCAAAAAACCTAAAAAATATTGAAAGGAGATATCAAACCTATAATTTTATGGTTAAGGACTGTATGCTCTAATCAACAATGCTACTCTATTTTTAGCAAATTTATTGACAAGGAGATTTATTGGAGGTATTTTTGATCAAAAATACCTTCAATAATCTTTTACAATTTTTTAAGAGAATTATTAAAGGTGTTTTTGGTAAAAAAACGCATTCGATAATCATCTATATTTTTTATGAGCAGATTATTTAAAGAGTTTTTTGCTTGAATACGCCTCTAATCTTCCTATAAAAAATGAGGAGGATATATTAAAGGTATTTTTTGCAATATCTTGAATTCTGATTAATTAGGTGGATTATTGGAGCTATTTTTTAGTCAAAAAATTTCAATGTATCAAATTTTCGCTATTATATTTTTTAAAAATTTCAACCACAAACTCCTTTTTACTTTTTATTTCCCTATTCATTTTCTTCAAATTTTGGTATTTTGAGTTTTCTTCTCATTTTCTGCCTAAGTTTATCATTTGCAGCTAATTTTATTTTTTTCCTTTGTTTAGCAAATTTTAAGTTAGCTATTTTGCAATTGGTAATCTCTAAATTTTCTAATCTAATTTGTTGTTCAAATCTTATAATTTTCTATTATTTATTGCATTTTGCTATTGTTTAGCTCATTGGTAAGCTCTATTTCAATTGGAACAGTGCTTTACGTTCTTTATTTTTTTTACCAATTTATTTTGTTATTGTAGTTCTAAGTTTGATTTTATTTGGTTGGTAAGAAAAATTCAAGATAAAATAGAAAGTAAAAGAAATATGATTTTTCTCTGAAAAACTTGAAATTAAACGTTGAATTTAGTTACAAACACAAATAAAATTGTATGTTTAGTTTTTTTTTTCAACAAAATATTTTTTAAATTACTAAAAAAATGTTACTCATTAACATGAATTTGTTGATTCATTCAAGATATCCTTAGGAAACCATTTTGAAATAATCTATTATGTTTTTTTTTATCTCATCTTGACATTTGTTTTGTTTATTTTTTCAAATCATGGTGTCTAATGAAAATGACTTAATGTTGCTTGAAAGGATTCATTATGCATGAAAACCATCAACAACAGAAGATGATAGTGACCAAGGTGGAAAAAATCTTTCATCAAATAATAGCGTTTCAAATCTATACAGTTATCAATTTCATACATTTTAAATTTTTAATTAATGTACTAAAATAATTTGAATGTTATTGTATGTATTAAACTTTGTATTCCATCCATATTGAAACAAATTATGTATTTATAATATTCAGTTTATAAATTTAAGTTCATTTTTATTTCTTTTAATATTTTTTATTTAATGATAATAATCAATATTAAAAGAAAAGTTTTAAAAACTAAATTTTTTAATTTAGTAGCATTTGTACCTAAAAATGCCTCTAAATGTTAAAATGTAGTAGCGCTTTTTACTATAAATGCCACTAAGTTTAATAGCATTTTATACTATAAATACCTCTACATTTAGCAACATTTCGTGATAAAAACGCTATCAAGTTAGTAGCTTTTTTTTTTTTAAATATCGTTATTTTTCTCGACGCAGATATAGGTGACACTTTTAGTGGCGTTTTTGGTAGTGATGTTTATAAATGCCTCTAATCCTTTAGTGTCATTTATAAACGTTGCTAAATGTAAAAAAAAAAAAAAATCACTAAAAGCTTAATCCCTGTAGTGATTATAAATAAGTTTAACAAAATAAAAAAATATATTTTATGTTTTTATATCGATACGAATTATAACACTTAATTTTTGTGTGAAACATGATACAAATATATTATTTTTTAATATTTTTTATGATACAAATACATGAATCACCAAATCTATTTTTACATTGGTGTGTCGAATAGTTCCATTACCAAAGTGAATATATACCATTATAATACTTTGACTTTGCAATTGTTTTAAACGTAGAAGTTTGTTTCGTACCTCAACCAGAGAATTTCCAAAAATAAAAAAGGCTGAAACGTTTTCTGCAGAGCAGGTATCAATTTAATAATAAGAAATTTGAAGAAATTCTACATCTAAATAATTTATGCAAAGTCCTGTTCAATATTTATTATAAGTTGCACTGTAGCCTTAGATATGGTCCATAGCCCCCATTCTCTTTAGCATTTGGATCTGCCCCCAAAAAAGGGTTAAATATTATTGTTTCCTTTTTTGGCATGTGAAATTAAGTAAATGCAATTTTTGTGAAGAAATCAAATTAAAAAAGTTTACAAGTTGTAAACAATGAAATAGAATGGAATTCCATAAAGCATATCACCTATAATTTTCTTTTATTATAATATAATAATTATTCAATTAAAATAAAATTTTATTTAATAATTTATTACTTGTAAATGTAAATTTTATATAAAATTTTTATAAATATAACATAATTTTGAATTATAATTGATTAATTATATTATAATTATTGTAGATGATATGGTTTTGAATCCGGCACAACATCCCAATATGCCATAACCAAAACTCGTCGACTATATGCAAAGTAACGGTGAATTAGGATAAGAGTAAACTTAATGACAAAAACTAGTCGAATTAGAAAGTTTCCAAAGAGAAAAAAATGGCGAAGGTGTAGATCTAAGAGCCGAAATTCCAAAGAAATTGGGTCTTTAAAACATATAACATCGTATTACTGGCTATGGACCATATATATAATTAAATATCAGCAGACATGTGAGAAAATTGACCTATAAGGGTCGTATTATCCTAATTAATATATATTAGGTGTAATTGTTTTTATGAGAAATTTCATTTAAGGCTACTCTCGCTAAATGTCACCCTTTAGATTAACATCAATTAATATAGCTTGGTCAAAATACAGATGATTATTTTAATTTTTTTATATGAAATTGGAAGATTTATTCATAAAATGGCATATTGGTTCGGATTAAATTAATAGCAATATTCAAATTCAATATACATTTTATATATTGAGAAATGCTTTAAAAGTTAATCTCTTTAATCTGAACAAATATTATTGGATGAAATATAAGATTAGCTTGATTGAGATGAACGCTAATGTTATATATATAGAGAGATATGCACGAAGGTTCATATTGTTGGAAATAGATTTCTCATCACTACTTCTTGAATGCCATAAATTTTTATTATTTTTTTTATTTCTTTCACATTTTACTCAGATAATTTGAGTTTATATATAGGGTTTGCTCAAGAATTAGCAAGCTGTCGGATGTTGATGGGTGAAACATATTCAAGGCCACCATCCAATGCATGCTTTGCACCAATCAGATTAGCTGATTCAGTGGTATGGTATGGATCCCAGAAGACATACTTTGTTCTGTCTGGACAAACTCGAGACAAATATCCGCATGCGATTAGACCACCATGCCTCCCAGTCACTTGGCAACAAGCCGAGTCTGCATTCTCAAATCCTGAAAAAAAAAAACAAAATTTAAAAGTCATTCCAAATCCCAATTTTTCATCCAATTCAACCAAAAATTAAGTAAAATATGAGTGAATCACCATATGATCTATAGTTTTGTAAAATATCCTCTACTATCGCATAATTATCGACATAAACAAAGTTTGATTCTGAAAGTTTGGTTGTAAGCTCTTGAAGCAGGCTTTTCAATCTAGTGTTGTATAACTTGGCAACGTCATTGAAGGAAGAAACACAATTATCGGCACATAAATGATCTATCTCAAAAGGAGTGCACCCCAGGGGAGGGCAATTTGTCACTGCAATCTTCCTGGCATCCAAATTGTAAAGTGTCTACAAAGATCCAAAAATATTGCATATTGTAGTTAGATTTCAATATTATAGAACAAACAGTTGAAATGAGAAGAAAGTGTTTACTGTGAGCTGGGATTTGAATTTGGACACTAAAGTATCCAGATAAACATTGATATCCCGCTTTGTAGATTTCTGTTGGGCGAATATATCGTTGGCGCCGATTGCGAGAAAGTATAATGCCTTTCTTAACAAACTTTGAGCCGCTGGTGCACCAATTCTTGAGATGATGTCTTGCCTAGTCTTTGCAAAGTAACTGATTTGTTCATCCATGCAAATATGCTCACCCTGGAAAACATTAATCCATTCATCAATTCGTTTGAAATCTTCACTGATAACTTAAAACTACTTGATTAAAGATCACTTTAACAAGTATATTTGGTAACTTCAATTTTATAAACCTGGAGTTTAACTGAGTTGATTCGTCACATTTAAAAAGATGACATCAAACTAGTTTAGGAATATATCAACACCTGCAACCCTTCCCCATCCCGGATCCGATTCCTCTCCTAGTAGGCTCTCAACTGGAGAGACCTATTAATGGTTGAATGTGAACTTAACAAGGTGGTTTCATATTCTACTCTCCTTCCCACACTACGGCCTCCTATATATATATATATAAACCTCCAATTTTATGATGAAACCTCCAATTTTATGATGGAATACATGACTGCTAAAATGGAAAAACAAAATGCTTTAAAATTCCATGAATAAAATAGGAAGAAAACTTACAAAGATTGATCCGGTGGAATTCAAGATTCCTGATCCAGAGGAGGCATAGTTGACACCCTTCAGAATCAAATCTCCAGTAGTATTAGGGGCCAGGTAAGGAGGAGAGTAATTTTTAAAACCCAATTCTTCTTCTGTTGAAACACAAATTTTGGGAAATTAGCTGAGTGGGATCAACTTCTTAAGTTGCTCCAATATGTTATGGTCAACTAGTTATAATCTGCTATTAATGTACAGAAGAATTTGCAAAACTTGCCTATAATGTCACCAACTGTTCGAGCATTGGTATATCGACCGGATGGACTTCCTTCGGCAAAGTCAATACCATTTGGGAACACTGGCTTGGCCAATGTGTTAATGTAGAAGTTGTTTCCTACCTCAACCAGAGAATCTCCAAAAATAAAAACGGTAGAAACATTCTGTGCAGAGCAGATGCCTGACCAGAAGTTGATGGCTATAATCTGATACATTGAACAAATAGTGATGAGCCTTTTCAAAATGGTGCCCATATGTACCAAAAATGTGCAAGAAAACCAGAAAGCTAACTGTATAAATTTGTTTAGAGGATCTGCAGAGGTAGTTTTTTTTTATGTTATGGGTTATGGCCAACCTCCAAAGTTGAATGATGGCAAGAACGTTTTAATAATAAACTGGACTGCTTTCGATCCTTTAAATAATACAGCAACCAAAAGTAAAGTCGGAGAGTACAGTGAAGATTCCAACGATTTACTTTGAGAAAAAAAATACTCCTAGTTATTATCTATTGATATACGACAAAAATATAAGTTAATAGTGTAATTTAGGGTTTAGGTAGTGTTTAGTATGCGATAATCACTTTAAAATTTATAGTAATTTATATATGGTGATTAGATCATTGTGTTTGGTAAGCATTTGATAATTTTACTTGATAATGATTTTGGATCAACAAGTAATTAGATCACTGTCTTAGAGGATGATATAATTTTTATATAAAATGGTAGAAAACTTTTATTACTAGTATGAAGTAATATATGTAAAATTAACAATAATCAATTTTACCTATTTAATATGTGAATTAAAATTTGCTTCCTCTTAAAATTGTAATTATTTTATATTATAAAATTTTATATTCTCAAGCTAATATTCATTGTAACAAATTCTAAAATAATTTATTTTTTATTTTTTTACTATTTTATATATAATATTTTATATTATTAATTTAATATATAGATTGGTTTTATTTTTTAATTAAAATATTTTTTACATAATTTATATTATAAAAGTCAACTAACCTATTAATAAATATATTTATTAATTTAATAATTTATTTATAAAATAAATAAATATTACTAATAATTTACAAATTATTATCTCTAAATAATCTTAAAATTATTAATTTGTGTAACTACTACAATATGCAAAATTATTTTTGAATTTTTAAATAAAATAATATTTAATTTTTAATAATACCAAATACAATAATTTTTAATTCTTAAAAATTAATGATTATTAACTAAATAAAGTGATTTCAAATCACAAAAATTAAGATCACTTTGATAATAAAATCATCTCGATGATTACATTATCATAATGATTTTTCAAAGATACCAAACACTTCCTTAATTTCATGACAGTTTTTTTTTTAACAAAAGAAGCTATAACTTGAGATAAGAAAAGGATTTGTAAGTGTTATGATTTTAATTCAAATTTATTAGATGACACTTCTTAAGAATGATTGTATGAATCTATTAACCAAAACTCTAGTTTCAAGTCCCAACTGTAAAACTATGTTTTTTACTATCGATAAGATCTCACACTTGCTAAAACTTTTTTTAAATTACAATTTTTAAAGATGGTCCATAGGCTATAGATTATTTGGTTGATCTGTTATGGCATTTCGGCTCTTAGATCTGCGCCTAACAATGGGTTTTCTAATCATCTTTTGATACGTGACATGAATCCCAATATTTTATTCAAGAAAGCGAAAAGGTAACCCTAAACCATAATCAACCCAAAGCACAAGGATATATAACCTTATTAGAAGTCGTGAAGAAGAAACAGAACCAAATACATTCACTTCACTAACTTACCAAAAGAGTTGGCCATTGGAATCAAATTTTACATTATACTTTGCAGCCATGTTAACAAACTAGGCCAGTTGTAATTGGCAATCTACATTATTAGGAAGGAAAGGGTGTTGCAAATAGTTCTCATATATTCAAAATTGAAATATTTTATTACTCGATGTTTTCTTTCGTACTTGAGTTACTTTGATATATAATTCTATCTAAAATTCCAGTTTTTCAGTACCAATTGTAGTTAACATGCACTACATTTACAGTTATACAGATAGTTCATAGGTCGATTTAATAAATATGTTCATAGGCCACATTATTTTTCACATTTCGGCTCTTAGATCTGCGCCTATGGAGGGTTTCTCTTACTTATTGGTATGTGAAGTGAATGCAATTTCAGTAATGAAAGCAGTAAGTGGTTAAGTTCCCAAACCATAAGAACATTTATAATCCCATAATTTTTTTTTTTTTGGTATTTGAATTTATCGAGATTAAACTTTGATATTTAAAATTAAAAATTCATCATTTTATCAATAGATCATACAAATTTAAGAGAAACAGTGAAGGAAGAAACAGAACCAAATTCACTACACTTGGTACCTAAACATGCAAATATCAAAGATTCTGATATGAGAACCAGAATGTAGCACTAACATACATATGGAGGAACAAACCATGGCTGGACGGAGCAGTAATAGCATTTCAAAGCTAAATTTGACACCCTGGGCTATGGCTGAATTGAAAAATCAATGTTAGAAAACTATGATTTTGGATTTGTTATAAGGGTTAATGCTATGAATGGATGTTTATTATGATATGTGAATTTTAAAAATTTCTAATATAGTACTTAAATTTCGAATTTGTTAATTAATCTGATATTAATCTTTAACGTAATTAGCTTCAAGTGATAACATATAATAGACAAATAATCATCTAAATATAACATTAGTTAACAGACTTATAATTAATGTATTATATTAAAAATTTTTAAAACTTAAGTACCACAGTTAATATTTTATTATAATTTAAAAATCATTTATGAAATTAACCATTGTCCTTATTAAACGTCAGGTATAAATGCTATACTAACTTAGTGTCATAACCAAATCTTGAACGTCAAACACTTTGGAGACTAAATATGATAAAATGGAGTCCTCAATAAATAAATTTTTTCATATTAGAAGAAAAATGATGCAATAATAATTGACTAATTTTTAAAGCAAAGAGGAAAATTTGGAAAAAAAAACCAAGTTAATTTCATTTTGGTATTGGTTTATATGGATTGGTATGCTCCAATTATGTCAAAAAATAATATATTTAAAAGTGATTTTTCATATTGGATTTGACATTGGGTAATATTGGTCGTTTTTGTTAGTTTTAATTAGTTTTGATTGATTTTGATGAATTAATTTGTTTCAACCAGTATTTAATTTTGAAACATATTTTATAATTTATAATTTATTTTTTATTATTTGACTATTTTTAATGTAATAAAAATAAAATTAATGAACAAAATAACTATTCAAAGTTGGATTTCTTTATTTTTACTACAACTTTTTTTATATATTTATTTTTCTAAACCAAAATTTATATGTATTTTAATTTTAAAGAAAATATTTGTGCTCTCTCTCTTAAGTTTAATAATCTCAAAGTTTTTTTTCTATTAATCTTTTTGCTTTTATCTTAATAAATTTTTATATGAAAAAATAAAAATACTCATTTAAATATTATATAATTAGATTAATTATTTAAAAATATCATGATAAATTAATAAAATTATTTTTTATATTTTTAAAGATATTATATATTTATTTTGTAAATTATTAATAATATTAATATGTACAAATTCATATATATATTTAAAAATAGTTTTTTACTAAATCAAAAAATCTAAAACAATATACTAAAACAACCCATACTTCAATCTAAAAAAAAGGCAAGGGGATAAAGAATGTCCCATAACGTATTAACAACCTTGGTAAAACCCTGCCAAAAAAGCATGGGAATAATGTTGGGTGCAGAGAAGGTTAGGACTGAGAAGACATAGAAAAGCCAAAATTTTGAGGTGTGGAGACAATTAGGGTTAGGGTTTGAATTGAAAAGGGAGAAAATGAAAGAAGAGAGGGGGACAACAAGAAGCATAAACCTAAGCTAGAAAGATAAAGAAGAGAAAGTAAATCTAAGTGGTCAAGTTCATCACTTCCCATGCAGCATCAAATTCAATGGTCCTAGCTCTGTTTCTCAATACTTCAAACCCAAATCCAAAGGTAACATTTTTTTTTCTCTAGGTATGTTTCTTATAATTAAATGTTATGCAAAGGTAAAGATTTGATTTTTTTTTTTTTTTGGGTTTTATGTTAAGTAGGGATGGAGATTGATGTGTTAGCAGTAGAAGCTTCAAGGAACTACTATTTCTTTTCCAAATGGTTATTCTAGTTTTTTTTTAAATGATATTTTATATTTAATTTTGTTGGAAAGATGAAATTCTTGTTAATGTCATGGAGTTGAATTCTGAGTTATAGTTGTATGTTAGGACAAGGTTGGTTTAAGCCCATTGAATTGGGGAGGATAGTCTAAGAAAGAAAAATGATTTGGAAAATTTATACAGTTTTCATTTACAGGGAAAATGTTATCTGAAAACCAATGAACAAGGTATTGTATTATCATTGATTTATTGAACGTGGTCTTTGTATCTTTTCTTTTGGTGAATTAGTTAATGAGAGTGAAAGGTGGTGCTTCCCTGAGACAAATGTGCTCTACTTGGGTGCTCTCTGGACATTTTTGTTTTTACTAACCTATTTGGCTATGAATTGATGGATTTTAGGAAGTTCCATTGGTCTTGCAGTAGGCTTCATGCCCCAAATATAACAATATTAACGGATGTGATATATTGTTGGTTGTATTTGCCATTTCCTTAAGTTTTCTTCTTCTTTGTTCCTATGATACCCCAATCTTACATTAGAAGATTTTAAGGATCTGATATGATATATAAACTGAGACTTAAACTCAAACTTGTGTAATGCTTTTTATGAGATAAAATAGTGAGACCTAAGGGTCAAAGCGAACAATACCTTCCAAGTTAGATGCGAGTCTTCACAAATGGTATCAGAGTCAAATTACCAATTTGACGTGAGTTAAGTGTTACATAATGGGAGCCACCTTTAAAATCTCTATGTCTGGTGTGATTTTACTTCTGTGTATACGGTTATTTGATTCTATTTGTGCTTTTTGTTGAGTTTGACAGGGACTTTAAGTTCGAACACAGGAGTTTATGTGTGACACTCCAATCCCACATCAAGAGATTTTGAGAGTTTATGTGTAACATCCCAATTTCACGTCGAGAGATTCTAAAAATTTGTTATGATATATAAGTTGAGACTTAAACTTAAACTTATGAAACTTTTTTTGTGGGATAAAATCATTAAACCTTCCAGTCAAAATAAACAATACCCCTT